TCCTCTAGTGCACCGTTACTGAAACAAGCGTCAGAACTTTGCATGAAATTGCTGGCAGAACAAAATACCAACATGGCAATCAACATGCTGCTTTAGAGTACAGAAGCATGTGGGAAGTGTATTTCTAACAAAACTTGAGCAAATGCAGAACAGGATACAACTAGCATCTTAGATCTACAGTAGAAAAAACAGCATGCTGAAGCTGGGATTTAAATATATGGGCATTTTAGATTAAAAGAAGTTCTACATAGTATGCGCTCCCAGTACAAAGTATTGGAGAATTGTATCTTTGCACAACATAACTGCAAATGGGAAAAGTTATTTCAGAACTTCTCTGTGAGATCCGCTAATAACTATTTTCTTTCTTCATTCTATAAAGCATACCTGAAACTACTCCAGAGCAGTCAAAATATGATCTGATCTGTTTTCTATAATGGGAAAAGCCTGTAAGACCTGAAGCTTTGGTTGGAAATCTAAATGCACTAATATGAAATATAACTATGTAACAGTAGAAACATTTGCCAACTCTAGAGAAAAGATCTAGGCAGAAGTGTCTTCATATATATGTATTTCCCACTGGTTTTCAATTGGAAGTCATTAAATTGAAAAAAAAGCAACAATAAAAATGCAAGGGTGTATTTAGAGCCACACACCAGCAGAAGGTGAGAGATTTTACCTTATTCTATCCATGAAATGTTCAAAGTTGTCCAGCGTTGTGATGTTGTAGTTATGTACTTCAAATTGAACATCAGGATTAATATTCCTTATGGAGGAAATAATATGAGTCAATGTTAATAAATACAATGATAACTTGCATTCTACTCCCTAACTTCACAAGTGTAGTTACAGTCTTAAGCTTCCAGTCTGAAGTCTAGAATATGCCCATATTTGTCAAAAATATACAGATTAGATGAGAAAAGAAAAATCACAACATATTGAAGTGGTATAGTTCATACCAAGCTTCTGAGCAAAATCAGCTATACTTAAAAAGTAGACTTACATTAAGGTTTTGGCCAGTACAAAAATGTCCTTAAAGTATCAATCATTCCCACAACTATTTTATACCCAAATTTTCAAATTAGATCATGCTACTTCGCGAGCGATTAAGAATAAAACGTCAGTTTTCCGGAGCAGCATCCTGGGTAAATACATTTTGATACCCACTTCTCTATGTTATACCTCAAAGTATGCTCTGCTGCTTCCACTTTACTTAATCCAGCTTGATGAGGTTGGAAGAAGAGTCTGTTCATGTTTGCCAATTCCACTTTGTCATAATCAAACAGAAGCAGCTATAACAAAGATTGTATTAACATACGTGAACCTCCAAAGACTCTGCAACCAGAGCACTATGGCAAGGCATTTTAAACAACAAAATTCATTCTAAAACCAACAACAAAACCCCCCCAACCAAACAACCCCCCACCCCCGCAGTCCCGCTCAGTTCACATACAAAAGTTACCAACATCGTTAAGTACGTGAAAGACTGCATTCTAACTGCCATTCAGCAGGCACTCAT